TTGGACAGTATTCTGAGCATCTGAAATTGCCTTATTCAAAATACAGGTTTTTTGTAAACAAAATACAAGTTTTTGTGAGAGGATTTAATTTGAGTTCATGGAAATGAATCCAATAAATAATTGAAAGAGTCTTACTATAAATAATTGAGAGGGAGAAAAAACTAATTACATAATATTGGGATTACACACAGAGAGAGATACACACAGACATTATGCTGGAAAAGAGCTTTATCTGTACTGGTTTTTCCCCATTCAATTTGTCCTGTGTAGTTTTGTAGAGAATTCTTCCAGCATCAGGGGCATTCCAGCCCTTTGGCTTCTTGATCCACAAGTGCCTTGTCATTGTTGTGTGCGTTAGCATATTTTTCCCACCATGTTCCTGATGTTTCTTTGATGTCTCCTTAATCATGGGATTAGCCTTTATGTGCTGCTCTGGTGGGCTCTAGATTAGGTGTATCTTCCTGTTTGTAAGGGAAGCCAGAGGCAAATGAGTGGGAGGCAATAAGGCTATTCTACCTGTATTTGCAAATAGCATATGTAAACCAACATGTACTCAGTCTTCATGGGAGGTGGGGGTGGCCAAAAAGGATCTACCTGTATGTGTAAGTTCATGTTAATTCAACAGATAAAGGTTGCAAATGCAGAGCCTTTTTTTCAAAAAAAAGCATTGTCTAAAGTCAGTATCAGCACTGATTAGCCAGTAACTAAAACACATTAATTTATGGTTGGTACTATCAGATAAGATGCCAACATATTTTTATTTTAAGCAAATGAAAGATAATCTAGAACTATCATTCCACTGCAGCTGCTTATACTGGGAGGAGGGTAACACTGATTTTGACATTTGATGGCAGATCTCTTAATATTTAGAATTCTCCAGTGCAGGGATTCTGAAGTCCTGTTACAACTTTTGCTAATTTCAAATTTGTGACAATGGGATAAGAATTCAACTATATACCAAACAAATAGTTGTCTTGCTTCTACATGGTCCTCCTCCTCCTCCTCCTCCTCCTCCTACTACTACTACTACTACTACTACTACTACTACTACTACTACTACTACTACTACTACTACTACTACTAATTATTCTTCTAATAATTCTTCTTCTTGGAACTGTACAAATTTAATGGTTCTTCTCTCTTAATTTTTTGAACTAATATGGAATTGGTTTATAACTTAACACTTTCTGCTTTTGAGCCCAGTGACTATAATAGTGAAATAATAGATGGCTAAAAATTAATGTGATGAAAAGAGAGGTAGCAAATACAGTTTTTGCTTGAGCCAATTCAAACAAGATTTTCTACTTGATTATGTGTGTGTGTATTATGCTTTAGTACACGCACACACATACCCCATCGTTCTCTCTAGATGAATTGCATTCCCAGCAGTCTCTTCACACATCAATTTTGAAAAATGGTTCTGAAATAAAGAACTTTATTTATGAAAGGGCATTTATTGGCCCATAGTGAATTTTAATTTATTTTCTGTACTTCATATATAAATATGCGAATATGACCATCCAAAGTGTAAAGAGATCCACAGAATTAGGGCATCATGCTGAGCTCTTGCAGAGCCAAATATGAAAGGACTGGTGTTCTCCTGGGGTTCCCGTCTGCATGTTAGAGAAGAGCTTAGAAATGCCAGTTTCTGCTTTGATTGTCCAGGCTGCTTTGATTGTCCAGGCATATATATATATATATATATATAGACAGGATCTGGAAGTGGGGTGGCTTTTTGGTGTCTCTAAATCACAAGTATGCAAATATCTTTTTGAGCTTGAAACGGTTACTGTATTTTTCCAAGTATAAGACGCACCTTCCCCCCCCCAAGAGGGTGAAAATCTGGGTGCATCTTATACACTGAATACAGCATTTTTAGCTTCCTGAAACCCTGCCCCCTTCACAAAAATGGATGTCCAGAGGGTTTGGGAGGCCTGCAAAGTGCTCCTGGGGACGGCAAAAAAGAGCAAAAAATGGACCGTTTTTTGCTCATTTTTGCGCCCGCCCCCCCCAGCCGCCAGGAGCACTCTACAAGCCTCCTAAAGCCTCTGCATGCCCTTTTTGGCAAAAAAAAACTTGCATTTTTGCCCCCCCCCCAGCCCCCAGGAGCACTTTGTAGGCCTCTCAAACTCTCTGCATGTCCCATTTTACACAAAAAATGAGGTGTGCGGAGGCTTTGGGAGGTCTGCAGAGTGCAAAAACTTTTTTAAAAATTTATCTCTTCAAAGTCTTAGTGCATCTTATACTCCAAAAAATACAGTAATTCCCAGCTAATAGCAACCCTGAACGTAATTAATTGATAGGGCACGCATAGGCTTTTTTTTTTTTAACTTTAGTCTGTGTACTTGACTATAAAAAGTAGTTAGGATTCTCCTCCTACTCCCAGCATGGGGTATAACTTTGGAGAGAAACATCTCTGCTTTTTTAGTAATGTGAGGCGAGAACTTTGTTAACCCTTAGCCTGATCCCAGATTTCTTTTGTGAGGAATTGCCTTGTTTTGGATTCAGGAATCGTCAAACACTCCAACCAGAATACCCCTTTCCCCATAGGCTTTTGCATTAATCAGCTGCTGTGCAGGAATTTGCTAGTAATATAACATTCTACTTGCCACTATCCAGTGTTGTGATAGACCTGTTCTTCAAAATTGCATGTCTACAAAAATGTAATTCAAAAACAAAGCAAAGTAGAAGAAGAATTCTTGAAAGAAGAGGATTTCTCCCAGGTGGGATAGAAAAAGGAGAAACTTTGATGAGAGATTTATATTTCCTTTGTCACTAATTTCCATGCTACTTTATTAACCTGAACCTTATGGCCAAGACTTTCTGATTAAAAACGGATATTGAAACTGATTGTAAGCCATGTTGATGTGTAACTTCCTGTTCTGAGCCATGCTGTGAACTGCCATCTGTGTGCATGTTGTGTAAAAAGGTTGAGAACCCACATAGATGAGTTGGGTGCCTTGCTGTTGTCAGATGAGGAGAGCAGTATTGTTCACCAAGTACATGCCATCAGCTCGATGGAGGATTCCATCTTCATGGAGTCATCCCTTGGTCCACAGTTATTGGAAGACAGGTAACTCTTTATAGAGAAGAAATCCAGTAAATGTCTTGCTGTGTGAGATTGGAAAGAACTAACCTATCAGCATCTATTGCCTGATGATCTGTTTCAGATCACACCTGAAGAACCAAACTTTGAAATTAACTGAAGATAGTTTTGTACCTGCCGGCTTCGCTGATTGCTAGCAATAAACAAGCAAGGCCGTTAAATATGCAAAATGCTAAATGTGTTGTTGCCTGGATGTTTGAAAAAGAACACCCATTTTGGTCTGATAAACTGGACTATGCCATTTGTTCCAGATTTTCTCCAATTATGGTTTTGTCCTAGTCTTGTTTGCAGCTGGGACTCAAAAGTCTTCATGCTGTCCCCTGAATATCCAGTTCAGATGATAGAGGCAAATAATCTGAAAGAGTGTTATTTTTAAAAGATAATAGTTGGATTTTTTTCTTGTTAAAATAAATGTTCCTCTCATAATAATCAGGTTATATTTCTTTCAGGGATAATTCTCAATTCTGGTTCTTCCTATATGTGCTGCCATTTTGTGAATGGCTGATTCAGTAATTTTCAGCCCTCTTAAGTGGATGATAGATATTTTCACGTTTTTTGGTAATAATATATTACAGTAGTTTTTTAAATTATCTGTTCGTCTGAAGGTAATGGTGTATACTTTTGTAGGTTTCCCATTATTTCTGATTTAGTTTTAAAAGTGCCTAGGGCAGGGAATTCTTTCTTGTGTCCTATTCTGTAATGCAGTCCTATATCAATTCTGTAATACTCAATTGAGAATCACTGTGCCTTGAACTAAGGTCATTGCAAAAACTTCTTGCTAATAGCTTTTTATCTGTTGCATTGTGGTCAGCTGTGTTTTTCATGAAAGCCAACTGAGCATGCTCACAAACTGGCATGCTGGCAAGCTTGGATCATTGGTTTTTCATTAATTTTTGCTATTTTGATCTTAAATTTATGGTTTTCTTTCACCCTCCATACTGTTCTGTTGCATTTTGGTTTCACCTGTTTAATATTGTGTTTCATTAACTATTTGGTGTGCCTAACAGTTTTATTGTGTGGTGGTGTCAAGATTGTTTTCTGTGGGCGCCCTTCAGCTTTTGAATAGAAACACCACAGCAAAGAAGCTAGTACATAAAGTCACATGGGTAGTTAATCTGAAGGGACAACTTTGTTGAAAAGGCTGACTAGTAAGCAACACAGCGTATATTAGGTTTTTTTTTAAGTCATCTATATTTAGATGATTCTAGAACAGAGGCCCCCAACCTTTTGGGCACCAGAGAATGGTTCTGTGGAAAAAGGTTTTTTGACAGACCAGAGGAGGTGTGTTTTGCATGCTGCCTGCATCCCATGGATGGGGCTTCACTTGTTTGCATGGCCTGGTTGCAGAGATGGGTTGCTACCGGTTCAGGCATACCGGTAGTTATTGTTTGGCCTTAGTCACCCGAACCGGCAACAACCCAGGCTGCGACCCAGGTTTCCCAGTCAGCGATGCCATTGCTGGCATGTTTTTTAATAATTTGTGGTTGGGGACCCCTGTTCTAGAACAGTCATTCCTTGATTAGATTGTTAGTCTTTTTACAACTACAAGCTATGCACTGCCCAATGCCCAAGTCTTCAGAACAGCATAAAAGCAATTGGCTTAATATTGCAGGATAAGCCTAAATGTGATCTATTTACTTTACATTGCTGTGAAAAGTTAATGGGATTATAGTTAGGTGAAATTGACCTGTTAGCTGAGTTGAAATTTAACCCTTCTTTTCTGAATAGATAGAGCAAAACATTCACTTTTCTACATTACATCAAAAACATTTAGTTCACAAATGCTTTAAAAGAATACACAGTAGATCTCTGAAAGCGATCTTACACGTTTTGATGCTTGTCTATATCTCAATATTTGTTAATTTTTTTAAAAAAAATATTCTTTGTATTTCAGGCACGTGACACAGGCAGACCTCAAGAGCTCTACCTTTTGGCTTCGAGCAAGTTTTGGTGCTACAGTCTTTGCTGTTTTGGGCTTCGCCATGTACAGAGCATTATTAAAACAGCGGTGATCTGGAGAAAAGCATGGTTTTTTGGGGGGGAGGGGCTTATTCAAAGTGAGGGGGGAATCTTTTATGTACATTCTAAAATCTGCTAGAAATATTTATATATGCAAAGTACTTTATTATTTGTAATTCATGGATAAGATTATTTTAAATAATAGTTCTAAACTTGCAGTATTGCATAGGGTGTGGAAAAGAGGATTTGCATTACAGTGGCTACTCTTGGCTACACTTGTAAAAGCCAAAAGGAAATTATTGTAAAATAATTTGTATATATATACATATATATATATATATATTCAGGCAGGGAAGCCTAATGTCCCCAGAGGTTATTAGAAATTCCATTCATAAATGTTTCAAATAGAGTGAAAGAATTGCAAGTAGGATTTGTTTTCGGCAGTATAAGTTCAAAATCAGCGTTCATGTGTTTATTTATTTCACTGGTATCGAAAGTTCTTGCTGGACATACCAGGTTTGAGGACTGACCTTTTTTTTAAAAAAAAAAAACCCTTTAATAACTCAACTTTTCCTGTAGCCACTGGTCATATATTACAGGAGTGTTCTTCTGTGGCAGATTTGATTGGGTTTGAGCTGATTATTTCTTGTGCATCGAAATGTGCCTCAGTTCAAGGAAAGAGAGAGAAGGACGGTATTCCCTTGGTTAAATGAAAATGAAGTATCATCAATGAAACACATCGTCATCATCTGACACCATGTGCCATTCTGCGCATCTCTCATCTTCCACTTGATGTTTTATAGCCTTTTCCAGTCCCATGGGCAATGTATTATAATGGTTTATAATTCACCGGAAGTCTGTGTTTCATTCCTTTAGTTTGGAAAGTCATTCCCTGACAAGCTCTGTGGGGTGTGTGTGTGTGGGTGGAACTAAAGCGGAAACACTCTGTGCTTTACCCTTCTTGGTCATAAACGAATTGCATGGTTTGTACTGCATCTTGTATTTGGCTGGAATGACCTCTAGGTGGCATTTTTCAATCTACCAAGAAGGTTTACTAAATGGAAGTTCCTCCTGTCCAAACTATTTTCCCCATCAATGGCCTTTTCTGGTATTTCAATAAATAACTGTACCGTGCTATGTTTCGAATGCTTGTTCTTGTAGTATTGATCTGTATTTGTCCTTGATTCCCAGCCTAGAACTGCTTTGCCTCTTGATTTAGATTTCTGCCCAGTTATTAATGTCAGTAGGAAAGCCTTAGCTAGCCACTTTCCATACTTCAATGGATGTCAGCTTAAAGGAGGAAGGTTTTTTTTTTAATTCCCAAAAGGGAGGAGGAGGAGAAGTACTTTGACAAGGTAGGATAGACAACAAAGTTTCCTTACAGAATTCCTACTGAAGAAACTACACAAACTAAAGAGGAAGTTTTGGTCACACTGCGTTAAGTGGAAAATAGAGATATAAGAGCAGAGTGACCAATTAGCACTGTAGGACATTTAGAACATAAGAACAAGTCTACTGAATCAGGTCATCAGCATTGTGGGCCCTACGATGGCCTTCCTGGACATAGATACTAAGAAGGATCTGCCATAATGAAAAAGAGTGAGGAAAACTCTACTGGCTAGATCCTGTAGACAAGAATACAAAGATTCAGGGGGGAAAGGGCACAAAACAAGTTAAATCTATAAAGTTCTGTTCTCACTGTGTGTGTCTCTCTGTTAACAAGTGCTTTCTTCCAACATCTAGCCAACTATTGTCTACTTCACAGATGATAGCAGGTATCATTGTTGTCTTTGTGGTAGCAGAGTCTATCCTCATTTTGCCACCTGTTTTTTAATGTGAGATACTGAAGATGGTGTTTAGTATTAGGTGGCATTTATTTATTGATCAACTGAACAGCTCCGCTCAAATAAAATTTGGGGCGAGGGTCATTCAATTCCCTAGTAAACCTCCTACATGTATTACCCTGTTTCCCTGAAAATAAACCCTTCCTGAAAATATTGTTGCAGCCATGAGGTGACCATGCTCGCCACCTCCTGCACCTTAAAAATAATAAGACTTTCCCCAAAATAAGACCAAGCGCTTATTTCAGGGGTCAAAAGAAAATAAGACCCTGTCTTATTTACGGGGAAACATGGTATGTTCTTTGAGGATTTTTTTGATTTTCCCACCACATAGCCCTTCGCTATGTTACAAAGGGCAAAATCCAGTATTGTGCAACTAGGCTTTACTCACATAATTTAATGTTGTTTTCCTCTTTTCCTTCCTCCATTTCACTTGGCTCCATAATGTCTCCCACCCTTCAATATTTAAGGTTCAAAAAACCAGAAGCTGTTTTGTTAATGGAAAACCAGCATTAGAACCATCTCTCTTGGTCCCCATTCTTCCTTTACTTAGAGGCTATCTGCCTCTTCTGTTACATCACTGTTTCCATGGAAATATTCTGTAAAATGTATGTTTGTCCATGAAACAGACAAGAGAAGAATATTAGACATTGCCCCAAATAATGAGACAATTCAAAAGTGGAGGCTTGGTTTAGGAAACCTTGCTAGATATCTTTTTTTGGAAATCTGGCAGAAGGACAATGGTCTTTAGAGAGATGTGAACCCTTTTCCAATCACATTTTCTATTTCTTCTTTTTAAAAATCAGCTATTATCCTGCCTCTCTGCTTCATGCTACCTGATTTCACTCTCAGCAAGAAATAAGAAAGGATGTAGATATTGCCATGGTAATATATGAAAATAGCTTTTTCCAAACGACGGATTGCTAAATCTGGCACTGGCAGATGGGCATGTAGTAGCTGATCAGTACTTAGGAAAAGAAGCATGAAGACATTGGTTGAAATGTAATAAAGATACTTCTGTTTGCTCCTATGAGATAACATTGATAGTCAAAGGTCTGATTTGCTAGAGCTGTGCAGAATCTTTCTCGATTGAGTTGACATACAAAATCTGGAAAATCAGAGGAGCAAATGGAAAATGGAGGGACCAGAATTTGAACAACACAAAAAGACAGATCTTAAATAATATGTCAAGTGTTGTCCCATCAACCTTTTGTATCTCCAGTCCCACCAATTTCTCTCAAAGAGTTTGACTCCCACCATGAGGGACAAACTCACTTTCCCTAAAGAACCACATTTAATGTCTACAGATATCCTGTTGTTATATATATCATTTACTGAAACCTTAAAGGACTTAAATTTTTAATGTCTTCTGTCTCAACTAGATTGCTATATCCCATTGGGTAATTACCTGTAGCTCTAAATACAAGTTGTTTTTTCACACAGTCCACATAAAAATTTATCTGGATAATGTTGGGAAAAGTGTCCCATGATTCATATCTCGTTACTGTACTTGCTGAGAAAGTAGACAGGGATATGGCTTCCCCAGATAGGGATGCCCAAATCCTGTTAGCTACTGTATTGTTGTGGGCTAGACTCCCAATTAATGTTTTGAGCCCTTATGTCTGCTTCAGTTTGTCGAATTGGGTTAGATTGTTGTGCTATTGCCTTCATGAAGCTTCTCTTAATAGCAATTGAGTAACTTTAATTGTGGTGATGGTGGCAAAAAGTGACCTAACTTGCACTGGTTACACACTTTATGGGCCCAAGAGATGTGATTTTGATGTATAAGGTGGACTTCAAGTGTTCTGGAACATCATTTCTTTTTCTCTATAAGCATACCCTTTAACCATTATCAAGATTTTTCTCTTTCTCTCATTTGGTTTGCCAAATTCAGAGAGCTTCCATGCTCTCTTTCATTGAGGGAACAACTGTTTCTTACATTTGTGGGCAGGAATTATGAGACATTCTGCTTGGGATTGATATTACACGGCCAGGATTAGAAACAGCGATGTCATACCTTTATGTCTATATAAATATATTCTGTGGAGTTGCTGCATAATTGACACATCTTATCCATCATCTCTTCCCCCAGAATATCAAGATTCTGGCTCTTTGCCCAGACACTGCATAGCCTGTGGATACTTGTTGAGACATCCTAGAAGGACAACTGAAGCACTGGTTGTTTTGTTTTCGTTTCATGGATTTTTATGGTTTTCTAGTTCCAGATTTGCTGTGAGCCACCCAGAGTTGTTCTTTTTAAAAATAAAGAAATGGGTAATCAATTGAGTGTCTCCAGATGCTTTGAACTAGGGCTCTTACATACACTTCTGGCTGTGCTAGCTGGGAATATTGGGAACAGAAATCCCAGCCAACCAGCAAGCACCAGCTCTTTCTTGCCCCAGCTCTGCAGTTAGCTAAATATTTATGGTTACTGTGAGAGAAACAGACGGGGAAAATATTTTTATGTGTTCTGTCACATAGAACCAATCCTTTGGCAGGCAAGAGGAGAGGATACACATCCCCTGGCTTCTAGTCAGAAGTTGAGAATATTCAAGCCCATAGCTGACTAGAAGAATGACACATCTTTGATCACCACTGACAGGCGTCCACGGCAGCCAACGTGAATGAAGGTTGCTAGCAGTTTTAAGAAAAGAAAAGAAAAATGTAGTAGCAACCAGCTGCCGGCTGAGGGCAGCCTGGTTTCAAAAGCCACATTGATGTTTTCGGTTTCTGCGTACTTGTTTCTCCTTTCATGATGCTAATTTAAGAGCCACTCTTGTGTCAAGGGCATAAAGGTGGACATTGAAGAAGATGGTGATTTGCTTGTTTCTGAACTGTCTTTAATTGCACAAAGCAGCATTGAACCTCAAATTTGTTCCCTGTCCTGGTCCCCAGTTCATCTCCTTGGAACACACTGGCCCGATTGCATCACAGCTTGAACGTATAATGTCACTCATGAGCCATTCCTACCTTCTTACTTCTTTCTTAGGTCTATTCAGAGCACACAGAGAATGGGTGTGCTGCTGATTGCTTTTTTTAGATGATTTTTGCAAGAGTGTCACGTTACCTGTATGCACAATTCAGTGCAAGTGCATGACTGACTATTTACATACTATTTATGTGAATGTATTTACAGATTATATTTGAATACATCCAATGCTGTAAAGGCTGAAAACTGCGCTGTGTCCTGAATTGGGACTCTACCAATTCTGTGTTTTTTTTCCTTCCCTGATTGTTACTTGCTGGAATTTTCTCAGCTCTTAACAAATGTTCAGTTCTAGTGGAATAGAAAAACCTGCAACAGGCACCAAGGTCCTAATGTTCCGATCGACAGCTTATTCTGTTACATTTAAATTGCTGCAGAAGGGAGGGAGGGTCTTTGACTAAAGCAATCTGTTGTGACATCCTCATTCACATCCTACCAATCCGTGGGCAGAACAGTATTAAAGTATTAATCTCATGCTGCATTAGATCGTTCATTGCTGTTTCTTTTTTTCTTTTTAGTTGTGCTGCATCAGTTTTTTCCCCCTCCATTTTTGCAGCTGCTTTTGCAATTAATGAGGTTATGGAGGAGGAGAGGGGGTTGATAATGGGAAATGGGTTTTGAAATTTAATAGAAACAGTGAGCAAAGGAAGGCAGTTCTTAATAACAAGTTGCCCTTCACAAGGAGAAAAGACGACAAACTAATCATTCCACTGGTTGATTAGGAACAAAAGGAAAGAAAGTCAATCAAGGTCTGCGTCCCATGCAATATTAGGCAGGGTCTGCTAAAATGGCCTAATATCAAACTAAGGTATTTTGCTTTTCACCATGATGTGACCCAAATAATAAAAGGGAGAAAAAGTGGAAATAACCAGGTTTTTCAGTACGGATCATTCCAAAGATGAAACAGAAGCTCAAGGATTTAACTTAAGTTAGAGCAAGGATCCCCAAAACTCTGGGGCCAAGGGACATATATTTGGAGTATTGAGAGTTAGTCTGTCCCAAAACAGCTGCCACTATCAATTTCCTGGAATGAATGAGTGAGGCTAAAGGAGGATTGTCCGATTCAAGGCCCTTTACTATTAGAAAGGCTGAGTTTCAGATTATCTTTCAGGAATCTTGTTTTCTTTTTTTGACAGATGGCTCAATTGATCCAGAAATTAAAAAAGAATTTTTTTTTGAAGATTTGAAACACCCCCACCCCAAGCCAAATTGCATATTTCCCATCACAGAAAGCAATATAATGGTCCTTCCAAATGACTTGAGGGCTTGGAAAATACATTCGTAACTATGTCCAAGCCTAAAACTCTTGTAAAATACCCAAACTTGCTATACACATCCTCAACTTATGATCAGATCTCTGTTTCTAAATAAAGCAGTTAAGTGAGTCATGCCAATTTCATCACCCTTTTTGTCAGGGTTGCTAAGTGAATCGATGCAGGTAAGTGAATCGGACGGGCATTAAGCAAATCCAGCTTGCCCCATGGACTGCTTGTCAGAAGCTGGTTGGGAAGCTCGCAAATTGTAACCACATGACTCTGGGATGCTGCAATTATTGTAAATATGAGCTAGTGTCAGGCGTCGGAGTTTTGATTTT